ACATCACCTGTATTTGGTGTGTTTTCTCCAAACTGCTATGATACTCATGAGCATGCTCTGAATACTGTCATTACTTCAACCAAGACAAGGTACTGGCGAATAAATTGATGTAGCAAGGATTTTGGCAAATTTGCAAATGACCTGTTTGTAAATACAACCTATTCTTGAGTCGCATATTGTCTAATATATTCCATATCATTTCTCAGGTCATTGGTATATAAAAGTTACCATGGTATACTCCGTCTATCTGATCTGCATAGGGCTAATGGCTGGTGTTACCAGTCAATGGAATGCTTACTCCTCCTAGGCATCTAATCCCGGCTCTGGTGTTTCCAGGGATCTGGATATTTGATTAATTATGATTCGCTTTGTTTATGGATTATGACTTGACCTTTCACAATGATAACAAATTTGATCGTGTGAAATTAAACAAGATTCGAGTGTAAAGATGTTTAGTCACTTAAAACAATTAAAATTATGATAATATCAATAACCATTATCATCAGTCCTGTCCATATGTCCCACACTATGATCCTCGACAAGATTGATCATTTATAAACTTAATATTGCGTACAAAAAATATCCATCTGTGCGAATGATCGAACCAATATATATCTGTACAAGTAACAAACCCAGTATGTTATAGAATTTAATAGAACTTAAAGATCCTATAAACTTAATCATTGCAATCAAAAGACACTGAACTGTGAGGGCTTATGGCTTTGCGAATTATTTTCCTCAGAAATTGGCATTTAATACCAATCGAAAGATGTCCTTTTAACGATTGTTCAATTCCAAAGTGATAAACTACAACCAGTCTCTTTTTCTAATACATTTTTCATGGTGCAATAACATAAGTATATATCTTAATCAACATCATGCACAAACTAATCGACAACTGACAATAATCAGTGAAATGCATTGGAATCTAGATATCATACACACTTTTCAATCTTTCCCAAGAATATTTCAACTTCTAATCACTATGCTGGTAAGAAATAATTTCCAAAATACTTTTCTAATATAATTTAAAAGACAAAAGTGCTTTTATATAAGTTTTCGTATTTTGTAATAACGATCAAAATTTCAAAAGGGCTGCGTCATGAAACTATCTGAATTGAGTCTTACTAATATTATTTAAAAATGAGAAAATGATGCAGAATATTTTCAATGTTTTCTTCTATATCATAAAAGAAACAAGAGGCCCATGGGCCACATCGCTCACCTGAGCATTGTGGCTATGAAAAAGCAAAAAGAGGAATATGGGCCTTAATGGTCACTTGAGTATTATGTAACCAATTTTAATATTTTTTAAAGTTCAAGAGTAAAACATTCATGGTAAATTACCCAGTTATTCAGCATTTAGGCATCTGCAAAATCCATCATGTCCTCAGGATTTTTTTTTTTGTGAATACAAGAGGACCATTATAATCTCATTTGTCTAAAACCTGTCACAAAAACTGTAGGATATATTGTCTGAATAATAAAAGGGTTTCCATGTTTGACAGAAACATTTATATGTTCTAAAGTTGCATTTACCATGATTTTCACATGAACAGAGTGGTATCCTAGTTACTACATGTAACATAATTATTTGATGACAAATACCAAATCAATGATGGTTTCATTAATTACCGGGTAGAACATTGCAGTACAACTTTTATGAAATGGAGATCGAGTCATCTTTCAAATCTTGAAATATACTTTACATGTATTTATTTTCAATTCAAGCATTTCTTTTCTGCTACAAACATGTTTTCACCAATATATTTCTATCAAGATGTAACCGTTCACAGCTAGATCTACCACCCTGCTTCTAAGATCTTGACCCCAGACCCGTATTACCTTAGACTTTAGGACCCACATAACATTGACCTTTTTATTTTACACCCAAAAGAAAGGATGTCTGTAAAACACATATCCCCCCCCCAAAAAAAAATATTAATTGCAATTTTATCCACGTTCAAAGTACATACTGTCAAAAATGGCTGGATTGACCAAAAACAAATATTAACCTGGATATTTTTATGATAAATCTATATACTGAATTTCATTTCAATATGTGCGACATCTGCAAAGAAAATGAAAGGAAAAGTGCTTTTAGTTGGAATTTTTCAAGTCCAAGGGACATAACTGTTCAAAATCGCTCGATCGTACCCAAACCAGAATGTGACTATTCTTATGATAAATTTATGTTCCAAATTCAATTTTATTTTGACATATGCTCTCTTTGCCAAAAAATTTAACAGAAATGGTGGAGTGACAGAACATTTGATCAACAGAGGGCTTTTTTACAATCCCAGGTCTAACAGTTCGTAGCATCTTCCTTGAAGATCAAAGTGACCAATTTTAAATGTGCAAAATATCTTCCAAGATTTACAGCTGACAAGGTCGAGATAATTTGGTATCAAATTATGACCAGTTCCCAGGATCATGAAAATTCTTAAGAAAAAGTCTAAATATTGATCAAGTCAAGTAGATAATAATTAAAAAAATATTTTTTAACGTTGATTTACAAATTAAGGTGTTCATTGTTATCTGCAAAATTAGAGATTCATTGAATAATTAAGTATTTTTATAGGCCAATAAAAATTTGACTTGGTCTTAGTCTGTTTCTTGACCCTCGGACCAGGTGCCCGTTTTACAAAAGAACTTACGACTAAGACCAAAAATTTCAGATTATAGTAAAATTTTGCAAAATTAATTGTTCTGTTTGAAATTGTCTGTGTAAAAATATCTTACCAAATTCTATTTAAAAAGTTTAAAATAATTTTCGATATAATGTTAATTAAAAAGTTATATGAATAATTAAACTTGGTCTTAAGTCGTAAGTCCTTTTGTAAAACGGGCTCCAGACACTTTTTTTGTGATAGTCAGAAGATATTTGCAAATTATGCAAACTTTCATTTTGCAATTTGTTGATTTACTTTAGCTGAAAGAATAAATTAATGATTGTTGGAGAGCAAGTTTATTAACAACTATAGAGCAAGTACAATACTTATCCTCAGGAAACAAAGGTTCATATGAAGCACGATTTCAAGCATTACAAAAGATGCTTAAAAGAGACAAAGAAAAAACATTTTTTTAAAAATGTAATAACTGCAATTCTGTTTTCCTATGCATCTATAATGTGGTTAACATGCCATCTCCTATGTAAACAAACTCAAAAGATTTTAAATGGACTACAAACTGAAAATTCTAAATAGTTCTCGTGTTTTCATATGAACATAAATATGTAAATTTCACATCACACACCTCCTATGACATGATCATAGTGAACTTTATGAAACTGATAAATATAGTTTAATATTCACTCATTTTACTTTTAGAACTAAATTCTGATATTAAATTTTGCAAATTAAATTTTCATTCCACTTGAATTTACAAGTTGACTTTTAAAGTTCCACTTTCCCCTTCAAAATTCTTTAAAAATAAACAACAAAAAATTGAGATTCCAAGTGTCACAGTTAATATTAGGAAATGGAATAATAAATTGCAATCAAAAAATAAAAAGTTCTGACAGTAGTGACCATCAATTTTGTCTCAATCAATTTGCATGCTGGAATTTTGTTAATTTTCATCATAGTCAGTGTGCACAAAATAGTACTTCAGAATTTAAAAAAAAATGCCACATAAAAGTATATTTATAGTGTCAACTTATCATTTTAACAACTGCAAGGTTCAGTCTTTGGAAAAAAAATGCATATCATCCATTCATCTCAATTTTCATATAAAAAAGAAAAATTGTAACAAGTCCTTGTACTAGAAATGAGCAATTATATAAATGCAATAAATCCTTCTTTGGATAAAACACAACTCTTCAATAAAACCCAAGAGGTATCTCATGTTCAGGAGCAAAATATGCCACATAAAATGTATTTTTTGAGCGTCAACTTATTTTAACAACTGCAAGGTTCAGTCTTTACAAAAAAAGTGCACATCATCCATTCATTAGGATTTTCATAAAAAGAAAATTGCGACAAGTCCTTGTACTAGAAATAAGCAGTATATAAATGCAATATATCCTTCTTTGGATAAAATACAACTCCTCGAAAAAAAAAATCAAGGGGTATTTCTTGTTGAGAAACTTGATCAATTTTAATCTGCATTCTTTGCAGGAGTTTTCGGTGGTGGGATGTAAATGTTGATAACACTGGATCCTGAAACGACTACTTGCAATTCTTTCACCGACAGAAATGCATCCTCTATTTCATCAGAATCTCCAATTGCTTGCGTTGGGGCGAACGATTTCAGTGTTTGATTTGGTATTAAGTCTCCTTTGTTTCCCGTCCAGCATCCCAACTACTTCGCACTCTAAGAATTTATTTATGCTTGTAATGTTTTGCCGCATATTGCAGATAGTGCATTTGAATGTTTTCACTTCTTCATTAAGGTTTTGTATTGTACTATTGCAAATAGTACACTTTCACCTGATTCGAACAGAGTTACAGCTCTGAACCGACAAAAAAGTTAACGGGGTTACAGCTCTCAATGCTGTCTGTGGTATTACCATTATACCACATACTATTGGGGTTAGCGTTCAGAACAGTAACACCAGACGCAATACGGAAAGTCTCTGGTCTTAACAGAGGAAAAACTAATTCGTACAAGTATTATTCATATTCATGATTTTTTTTTTATGTAACAAAATGCATAAATAAATATATAAATATGATAAGGCCAAATATATCTGGATATGAGACTTTTGAAAACGATTTTGCTGAGCACGTACTGCACTTCTCCTAATAGAGTACCTAAGTTGTTTTTTTTCTTTTCTTAACTTTTATTTTTTTATTAATTTTATTGAGAAGAACAAATCAAGTTACAATAGTACGATAATTTATATATTTATTAAGTAATACATTTGAAATGTGTTTGTTTGTTGTTGTTTTTTTAAATATGATATATGATACAGTGTCGGCTGCATACCTATAAGACCCCCCCCCCCCCCCCCCCGTCATGTTTGTTATCAGTGCCAGATGCCCGCTCCTGCTGTTGACCATCACATGTGTACACTTTGATTTATTTCATATTTAGCCTATATAATAGCCTAGCAAATTATAAAATATTTAACAGACTGATGTAAAATTTTGTCACGTGATAATTTAAAGACGGGTGTTGATGATCAGCCTCACCGTCACTCGCCATTTTATATTGCACGTGCGCTTTACAAAGACAAAAGAAGAGAAGAAGAGAGTAATCAAGGAAGTTTAGTCAAGTTTTGTCAATCCTTTACTGATTTGAAGACTTAAAATGGAAAAGGTAAGTGTAAAACACCAGTTTGCTTATGAAAAATGTAGATAAAATAAAATGGAAAGGGGGGGGGGGGTCGCGGGTTATTTTTCAGAATCATTGTAAAAAGTTTTGTACACTCAGTATTTATACATACATAATAATATGATGATAAATTTACATTTTTATATTGAATATTCACATAAACTAAAAGTAATCTCATACACAAGCTGTTTAGAAGAAGTGGTACCGTTTTAATGAATATATATATAGAAACAATTTCAGATTGGGAGGGGGTGGGCAAATATTTTCAGTTTGGACTCCAGGCACTGCCAAGTAAAAAAGTTCTCGGATGTAATTATTGAGATGACACATAATGGTTGTGTTTTCTATCGCATTTTTCAACAAAATAATAGGGGTGTCAGCGAGCTTGGCATGACCCCCCCCCCCAAGGTCTATTGAAAAAAAGGGGGGGGCTGTAGTGGGAAAATTCATGGAATTCCTTCCCATTGACCTGAATAATTAAATTGCTAGCCCCTGTCAGAAATTCTTCAACCACATACCAATTAAACCCCCTTTTATGATGAGAAAGATATCCATACTCTGTATAGGAATGCATTTATCATGTTTATAGATTTATATGCATGCATAGGCGTCGGAAGCAAATTAAAAGTGGGGTGGCTAATTGAAAGTGGGGGGCTAAACCAACGAAAAAAGGTAAGCCCCAATTTTCAATGCCTATATTATGTATATCTTTGCAAAAAAAGTAAGCCCCCCTAGCCCCCTCCCCCCCCCCCCCACCAGTTCCTACGCCTATGGCATGTGTATTGCGTACTCATCAATTGACTTCTTTATATTATTAATGTACCTGTGGGTATCCAAAGTAACAATGATGAAAGGTACAAAAGTGAGGGTGTTTATTTTTTAAGTATATGTACATTTATGTAGTTGATTAATCTAAATAATTCTTTACATGTACACTTTGATAAATACTCACTATTTAATGTCCCAGAAAGATCAATTTTTATCTCAAATTCTGTTGTAAAACTGAGTATAGTGAAAATTTAGTTTTGTTCGAACATTCAATGTTTTAGCAAAAGAGAACAGAATTTACGCCAGAACAAGTGAGGATGCTGGAGGAGGCCTATGGACAGGGCACAAGGAAAGGAAAGGCCTGGTTAGGTGCTCACCAGGAATTGGCAGCAAAATTAAATTTAACAGAACTTCAAGTAAAGGTAGTTCCCTTATCCATTTATGCTTTAAATTTGTTTTTAGATAAATAAACCTTGGTACATGTACCATGTATTTGCCTCAGTTTGATCAAAAGCTCTAGGTTAATCCATATTTTTACAATAACAGAAGTACGTATTAATAATATTAATATTAAATGCTTGATTGTGGTGTTTTATTTTTTCATATATATATATATATATATATATATATATATATATATATATATATATATATATATATATATATATATACACATGTATATATATATATATATATATATATATATATATATATATATATATATATATATATATATATATATATATATACTTTATTTCAGAATTGGTTGGGAAATTACCACAAATCCAAAAGTGGACATGGTAAATTGGTTCAAAGGAAGACACTCCCAGCAGTAAGGCCAACTGCTTATTCCTTATTTTGTAAGGAATACTCCAAGGGTAAGATCTGACTATTAAAATTTTAAAAAACCTTTTTTTAAACTTTTCCAATGAATTATAATTCACTTTGAAAATTATAGAATCTGGTAAATTTAATCCAATAACCAATCAAGTTTTGATATAGTTAAGTGACAGTTCCCTTTTTTAGGTCACCTGACTCACTCAGGTGACCTATTGATATATGTTTTCATCTGTTGTCGTTCGTAGTCAATCGGTCGTATACTTTTGAACATTTTTAGCTTCTTCTCTGAAACCACTGAACCAATTTCAACCAGTTTTGGCATATAGCATCTATAGGTGAAGAGGAGTAAAAATTTTGAAATCCATGGCTCTTGCCCCCCTGGGGCCTGAGGGGTGGGGCAAAAACCACTAAAATTAATGCAATCTTTAAAAATCTTCTTCTTTGCTCCTGGACATCAAGCAGTCAAACTGTTCGCATGATTGCACATGTAAGAAGCAATGAGCCCTCTACCAAAATTGTGAAATTCATGGCCCCAGGATCAGGAGTTCCGGTGCTAGGATGGGGCTCTATTGAATTTAGTGAAAATGCATTATTTCTTAAAAAATCTTCCCCTCTGCTCGTGGGTATTAAGCCAATGAACTGTGTACATAGTTATGATGAGGAAGGGTGCCTCTTCCAAAATTGTGAATTTCATGGCCCCTGGGTCAGGGGTTCTGGTGTTAGGGCGGGGCTCTATTGATTATATAGTGGAAATGCATTAATTCTTTGAAAATCTTCTCTTCTGGTCCTGGGTTTTATGCCGATGATCTAAGTACATAGTTATTATGAGGAAGGGTGCCTCTTCCAAAGTTGTTAATTTGATGGCCCCTGGGGGGTACCTGTTGGCTGGGGGCCCCTAATGATTATATTCTGAAATTTAATTAATTCTTTTAAAATCTGCTCTTTGTTATTAATCAAAGATTTATGATGAGCAAGGGTACCTTTCCCAAAATTGTGATATGTGTGTCCCCAGGGTCAGGGATTCCTGTGAGGTGGGGCACTACTGATTATATGGTGGAAATGCATTTTTTCTTTGTTCTTCTGCTCTGCCTCTTGGTATTAAGTAATCAAAGTAAGCATGCTAAGTGTAGAGTTATGATGAGCACTGGTACTGCCTCCTTCAAAATCGTGAATTTCATGTCCTCTGGTTTAACACAAGGCCCAAATTCAATTGCTACATGATACTCAGGTGACCTATAAGGCCCATGGGCCTCTTGTTTGTCAAATAATATTATTTCATTGTATCTTCATTTCCTTTTTTATAACCGGATGCCACATACATTCATACATATATTTATTAAGTTTTATTAATTTAGTAAGAAAATTATTTTACATTATTATCTTGATTACATGTATGTTCTATTTCACTTGAAAAATACTCAAATTTGTAGATCATCCTGGCTTTAATCCTTCAATATGGAAAATGGAGTGGGAGGCAGCTGGAGAGAAGGAGAAAGAGAGGTACGCAAAGATGGCAAGGGAGATGTCAGAAGAGGGGGGAAGTGTATCAACAAATGATGATCCCACTACTCAGAAGAAGACCATTAGAACCCTTCTGAAGCAACTGGAATGGACTGTAAATACCTTAGATTTTGATATTTATATATTTAGTAGAGATTTTTGATTTTTTACAATTATTCATGTTAACCTAATTATTTTTGCCTCTACTGCTGTGGATTAATAATTGATTATGAAGGACTAATATTCATGGATTTCATGAATTTAATCTTGCCTATGAATTAACATATCCACAAGGGACATCTTACAATGTATCAGTACACTACAACGAATGTTTTGTAAATATGAAATCATTATGACCCCAAAATCCAGTTAAATTTTGGTTGTCAATGTGCAACAGAGACATTTATCTGAATTGGCTTCGGATTGAATCCAGGGACTCTGGCATGCCAGTCCAGTGGGTTAACCCACTAGTCCAAGCTAGTAGGATACCATGTACTGTATCTAATGTACACTACCACATATGAACCGACCACCACAGATTAATATGATTTCCCTTTATGATAGTTTAATCCAAGCTTGTTTTAATTATCACAATAATGTAAACAAATTAATTAATTTGTTAATATTATATTCATAAATGCATGCATGTACTAAGGTATGCATTGTTTATGTATATAAATTAAGTCACTCAAAACAAACTTATTTCCTGACTAGAAACAGACAGTATTTTTATAAAAATAGGAGGAAACTTATAGAAAAGATTTTGATTAAATGAAGTATTCAATTTTTCTCTATCAAATATTTTGGCTGGTATAATCATAATTTCAGCTAGGTAAAAATATCAGGTACTAGCAGATTTTAAAAGGCCTGTTTTATTATAACTGTCATGTTTATAATGTCATTTAATCTCCATTTTTTGTTGAAAAGAATCTGTTTTCATATTATATATCATGAAAATTATAAGTATCAGGTTTTTGCAGTCATCTTGGGACCAAAAAATGCTGATTTCTTGAATTCTATTTGAGTCTTCTTTTAATTGAACTCATTTTGATAATGTAAAATGATCTATATTTGTAGAGTAGGCGATTGGAAAATATGGGCTTGCCCAATTTCGCTTTGGTGGCTGAAAATAATACTGTCCACAGCGTTGGAACAGGGAGGGGTCGAGAATTCCTTGATCGTGAGGATATTGAACCAAATTTCAGCCGATTTTGTAATCAAGGTTAGTAGGTCTATAAATTGATATTGGTTTATATGTCAACTTTTGTAATAATCGATAAGGATTATGACAAAAAAATAAAATCTTAATTTTACTCTTATTCATACATGCACTTAATTGTTGATATGTGTATCATTATAAAAATACTGCATGTAGTTGAGTGTAACATTGAAAATTTTCACTCCAAGAAAACCATTGTCAACCGAGGCACAGCCGAGGTTGACAATGGTTTTTTCGAGGGGTGAAAATTTTCAATGTTACACTCAGCTACATGCAGTATTTATTATATTATACTGAATGTTTTATACAAATACATATTACAGTGAACCTTGTGTGCATAAATTCTGCGCAGTCAATATTTTTTGGAATAACACCCTTCGTCAAGCAATGTTGACTGTTGCTATGCTGGAGGGCGTGGCTTCATTAATAGTGTTTTTTAACAAATGTTTCTTGATGAATCAGATTCTAATAATTTACGTGAAAGTATAATATCATGGAATACCACTTTTACCAAAAACAAACACCATGTGAAAGATTAAATATTTTTTGGGGGTAGGCCTACCATGTTTACATCCGATTTCCATTGAATTTTGGCCCATGAAGTTGCCTCACTCTTTGAAATGAAGCCTTAAAAATATACCAGCAAAAGAGGGTACATTTTGCCCCTTTGGCATATATCTTTGTATTTTATTGTCTATACATACCTATATGTGAAAGGAGAAAAATGTACTCAAATAGTGTGTTTTAAAACATTTGAAAATCTTGTTGGCCTTTCCAATCAAAATAAATTCACGTGCTAATTGAGGTACCAATGTGACATTCAAACCAACCAATCAGATAAATGAGTAGCATTTCAGGTGAATAATACAAAAATACAAATGCTAGGAAATTTTAGTATTTAAGAAAAAAAACAACTTTTTTTTTTTTGCTTTTGGATAGACAATATTATTTTTTCATGCATTTTAGTCAGATGAAATATGAACCATACTTTGCTATTAATTATTTCTATGCTCACAATTAAAAACAATTGTTTTATTGACATACTTTCTAGAATTCTATTTTTCTCCACTCCATTTGGCAAGGGATTGATGGACAATTGCCTATATATATTCCCTTGTATCAGTGAATACAAATTTTATGTGCATTTCTTGACTTGTCCCAAAAAAATAGACAGGTTCCTCACATCATCATTTATAAATGGCCTTTGTTGACCACTTAAAGTTTGAAATGTAGAAGAGATGGGATGTAAATTGACCTGAACCATATGTGTCTGTGATAAAATGCAAATTTGTTGTAAGCATCATTCATTCATTGGATTGGACAATTTTTGTCAATAAGCAACTCTTTGTGAACTGTGAAATAATAACAATAGCCCTTTAAAATAATTTCTCAGACCTGTATATCCTTCTTTAATACTTATCTGCCCATTACTTTCATCTATATTAATAAAAGAAAAAAGCCACAAACCAGTTATAGCTGTAATAGCTAGGGTCTAAAAATTCCTCTATAATGTGGCATTCCTACAACTTATAAAGAATACAAACTATAGATATTTATTTTCTCAAGGTGTTATTTTCCTTTACTCTTATTTCAAAATTACCAGATTGATATGAGGTTTATTATAATTCATCGTAGAAAAGGGGCCCCAGATCATAGTTCCGGGAATTCATCCTTTAGTAAAAAATATATTTTTAAACATAAATTCTTAGGTATGGAGAAAATAAAGTACATATTAAGTTAAGTGTATTTCATGGATTGTAAATTTTATGTTTTCCTGCATTTTGTACTTCTGCATTTTGTTATCCATTTGATATTTCGATCTGTCCCAGATTGAAGATCAAAGAAAAATTTTTTTTGTCTTGTCTGAAAATCTTTTTTTTTTCAAAAATATATGATGACCCTTTTTTTTATAATGAAATGAGAATCACAAAAAGGAAATATGTATTTTTAATAATCTTTATTTATTACAGATTATTCTACTCCAGAGAAATCAAAAGTCAATGAGCTGCGAAAGACAGTTCAAGTACACATGAACGAATTATACAGTTAGTATAGATTTTATGATCATTTCAAGTCTAGTGTATAGAAGTGTGTTGAATTTTTTTTTAATTGTTAAAATCATACAAATATATAATATATCTGAGATTTTTTATTGAACAGTATAGGTCAAAAGTGGTTTCAGTTTCTTCAGACCAGTTTTGTCCCTTAGCTACCATTTGGGTTCTTAGGGAGACGATGTTCCTTTTGTCAAAATCCGAAAATATATATTGCATATACATGTACATGTATAATAATAAAAATTAAGTTTATTCCTGCTTTATAGCTGAAATCTAATTAAATTGGAAATGAGTCATAAAATAAATGAAGGATTAATTTTTTATATCCCAATTCTGGAAAACATTTTAGTGTATCGACTTGGCTTAGCCAGAAATATGTCACAAACTTCAGTTTAAATCTCATTATAGATCGGTCATGTTACATGACAAGAATTAATGTTGATGGATACATCAAGCACTGGCCCTATCAAAATGTGTGTTATTAACTACCTAATTAAATGATCAAAGTACAATATTAAGTCCTGAGAATTAAATTTTTCAAACTTCAGTGGTTTAAAGAAAAAAATCAGAAGTTTTAAAACTATCTTTAGTTCAGAATGTGTTGCAATGTTTTGAGTCTTAACATAAGTTAAACTCTCCAAATATGTTTATATGTGGAAATTTTAAAATAATCATTCAAAAAAATTTTTATACCTATCAAGTTTGTGAATGTAATGAATTTCAAAACATTCTCCAAAGAGATGTAATATGCTCTGCCTGCTTCTGTTTCCTATTTATTTTCTTTACTTTGATAGCTTGATAAATTTTTTAAATAAGATTCCTATTGAAAAAAAATGCTTTCCCAGGATATATATATATAAATATATATATATTGTAATTAATTTTCAAAAGCTTTATTTAAATTCCTCCAAAAATGTGTAGACCCGCAGCTAAGGTCAGAATTGTAGAATCTTTTGTGGGTTACTTTGAAGATGAACACTAATAGTTCATGACTGATACTATGGAAAATGATGTAAAGTTGTTTTAACAGGAAAGGCTTCAGGCAAAGCAGGGTGCTTTCCCTACAAGATGGTGCGTAAAGGGGATATTGTGGTGGAGGGACTTCCCCAGGCTGTCTTACCTTTGCACCCTCCATCACACTATGGAGAAGAAAAGCTGCAGCTGTTGTTATCTTGTCCCAGCATTTCAGTAAAGTATGTGTATAATAGTCATATTTGATCAAAAGTGTTAATGCTTTAAAAAGCATTTAAAGGCACAGGGTTACACTGTATATGGTAGTCTCTTTATTTTGATAAAAAGAAAGAAGTAACACTCAGATGAATTTGCACTCTTAGCATATACCTATGTTCTACTGTAGAAATGCTTTGAACATTTCATTAAGCTTTAATTACATATAGTAGCTGATTCACATGTAAAGATCGAAATTCACTTATTCAAAGAAAATGTTTCCTTTCCTCTCTAACTCACAAGAAATTCAGAAGCTTAGATGAACAAGTTTGTCTACTTTATGTTTTTTTCATGGAGAACATCACTACTTTGAATGGGCATATAAGCATTTCTACAGAAAAAAGACTGCTTCACTGCTCCTCCTTAATAGGGGAAATATTATATTCTCCTCCAGGGACATTTGGTAGGGTTTTGGAAGCCCAAACTTTGCAAAGGAAGGGTTGGTTTTGACTTAATTGGGGTGTTCAGAGGGTTTACTGAATTTTTCCTTATAGCTCGACCCTAATTTTTCACCAAAAAAATGATTATATTAGGGAGTGTCAAGAAGCTAGGCCAAGTGCATCATTTCAGAATATGTAGAGATTGCAGAGACTCAAACTTGATGCAAAGGTTGCTTATGGCCAGGGGATGAAATATCCTTAAACTACGACTGGTATTCTTGGACACATTTACACTGCTTGAAATCAATGAAATTTCATTTTTTGGGGTATATATTCAGTTTGTACATTTTTTAAATATGTTTGTATTGAATGTTTCATTATTATGCCCAATGGCCACAATTAGCTTCAATAGGACACATTTAGTTTTTTTAATATATTACATTAAAATTCCTAATTCATGCAATTATTTTGATTTTTTTCCCTATTATCAAGTTACCCACAGTCAGCAGAAGAACCTACAGATTCTCTATCCCAGGAACCATTCATTGAACACTCATCATCTGCATCCTCTAATGAACCATCTACCTCCTCTACTAGGCCATCATCATTGGAACCATTGCCTACATCATCATGTATGCATATATATCTGATTGGTAGTGATATAAAGCTTTCATTATAATGTATTTTCCTCGCTCACAGATGTTTTTTATGTAATCTTTAAACTGATACAAAATCTAGATTAGTAGTTTACTACATGTACTGTAAATGTTACCAAAAAAAATGTGACCAGTTACATCAATGTCTGTTAAGTAGCTTGAGCTACGTACTAGAAAAGAATGTTGATAACGTGTAAACTCAAGCTGCCTAGAAGAAATAACCCTGTTTACTTTACAATATTTCTAAAAATCATTTTCAGTAGGATTTTTTCTTAAATTTTGATTTTCAGAAATGATTAATTGTGAGGCAATGCTTAAGGAAGACAGTTGCCACAAAACATACAGTACATATTTTGATCAGGACACATCTTATTACTAATATTTTATGAGGAAATAAAAATAAGTACTTAGTAGGTAACAAAGGTTTTACAGGTAGAGCATATTCATCAGGAAAGAAAACAGAATAAAGAAGATTTTTTTAATAAAGAGTACAATCTAGAAATGCTTTGGAGGGATTCTGAATGCATATACAATGTCAATCACTTTCCTAGTGGAAATAAGTGTTCACTTCAATCCATTGTTTTATTTACACACTAATGTAGGTTAGATAACAGTACATGTTTTTCTGAGAAATATTCCCTTGTCCGTCTGAACAAATGTGTTGAAATTACAGTTTAACTTGCCTGAACTTAGATTTACTAGCCTGTTTATGTTGTGATGTAGAAATGAATGATTTTGTCTTCATCGTTTGCTGCATAGCAATCAAGGTGGTGCAAAATAGTTTCATATTCTATATGCCACAGTGACAACATACAAAAAATCCTGATTAACAAACGCAAGGGTTTATATACCACAATGTTGATAGATAGGAGATAAGAAAATAAATATGGCGTTTGCCTATTTATGAGTTGTGTTCAACTTTAATTTGCATTTTTAAAAAAAAAATACCGGATATTATATTGTTTGTGCAGCATCTGCTTCAACAACCAGTTTGATAGGTAAATTACTTAAAATGATTTATTTGTTGAACCATTGTAGGGTGGTTTGTCCATGGTGACTGTCATGTGAAACTAATATTACTCAATAAGGTACATGTGAATTAACATCTGAAAAAATGTTTTTCAGCACAGCATGCCACTACAGAGATGGAGGATGTGGGAAATGACCTTATTGGCATACTTGGAGTGACATCAGAACTAGGTATTCTGCAACTTGTAATTGTTTAATTTGTAATTTTAAGCACTTCAATTGCGGAAATTGAAATTTTTAAGGTCACCTCAGGTGACTTATTGTTACTGTTTTTGTTTGTCATCCTTTTTTAATCTATCATCAGTCGTCAGTCCACCATTAACTTTGGAACATTTTCAGATTTATCCCTGGAACCGCAGAACCAATTTCAACCACCTTTTACATTAAGCATCTTTGAGTAAAGGGAAACAAATTTTTTTGATTTTCGTTGTGCCTGTCCCACTGGGATCTGAAGGGTGGCACTAAAACCATAAAATCTTTAATCTTTAAAAAAATCTTCCTTGCTCCCAGGCATTGAGCAGTTAAACTGTTACCATGATTGTAATGCACATTGTTTCCTCTTTCAATTTTGTGAAATTCATGGCCCCAAGGTCAGGGTTCTAGAGAAAGAGTTGAGCTGTACTCTTATTGTGAAAATTAATGCATATATTTTTTTCTTATCATCTTATATTTAGCAGATAAACTTGGTGCATAGTTATGAAGATCAAGCAATTACTCTACCTTTACCAAAATTGTGACAGTTATGGCCCCAAAGGGGTTCTGGTGGTGGTTGGGGAGAGCTCTATTGATTATACAGTGATTGATTTTTGAATATTTATTTTATAATAAATATATTTAAAAACATTTCTCGCAAAAGATGTTACAAATGTGACAAAGAAAATTAAAAATTAAAACAAACAAACAAATTGTGATACAACACAGCAATAAAGAAGATTAAAACCGTTAATTATTGAAAATAATTAATTAAATCACACTGTAATCAATTATTATTATATACCGTAAGTTTTGGAAGATAAGACGATACTTTTTTTCTCAGAACCGCTGGGATCGTCCTATTTAACGAATCGACCAATCTAAGGCTTAAGTTTACGAAAATGCCTTCAAATCAGAAAAATTTACGTCAATTTTAAAGCAAATCTGTGCCATTTTCGTATTTTAAAAAAATTTTTTACCGAGATAAAAAATAATAAACAATAAAGAATTAAATATTTATTCCATTGATTTCTTACAAAATAAGTTCCAATAAATATCCGTCGATGTACAAAAAAAACTTATTACCGGTATATCATCTAGTAATTAATGTTTCAAGGTATATTTACAACATGCTGTGTCCATCTTGTGAAGTTGGAAGTCGCAATCGTTTACTAAAAAGAAAACCGCAGCCGTATCAAAATTTAAAATACGGAAGAGTTTTCAGAATCGCAATTGTAATTTTTTTTTTTACCATTTATTTGTAACGATTAATTAAAATAGTATGCCTAAATATTTGTTCATTGTCTTGTGATATTTATTTAGATGTAAAATGCATGAAGTAAATTGTTGCCAGTAAATTTCTAAATTTATTTTCCACATATGCCGCTAGTAATAACTATTTTGTTTTATATCTTAATTAATTATAATAAAACGAACTTATATTGAATATACTATTATACGTTTTTGGAAGTTATAAATTCATTTATTTACGATACGTTATATTTTATTCACAGATTTTTTTTTTTTTTTTTTTTTTTTTTTTTTTTGTTTTGTTTTTTTTGTTTTTTGTTTTTTTTTTTGTTTTACAAAATAAATGTTTTTTTTAAATGATAGAATTGAAAGCTTCCTCGTACCCAAGGGGTACACTGAATTATACAAAGATTGGCTTCTAATAGAATTTTAATTGTCTGACAGATAAAGGGATATACTCTGTGTACACGAAGGTGTTAATACCTGTGTTGGTTAAAACACCTGCGGGGCATGATTAACAGATTCACGTGCCGTTACAAGGGTATTAGTGCTATACATCATTGAACAAACAAAACTGTGAAATTCTTGATGACTGTTAAATTGCGAATGTACTCTCAATTAAATTTATTTTTTACAACAATATCTCATGCAAAATTATAGCATGTTTTAAAATATGATTAATATCATTTGCGCACTGTTACATGTAATAGTCATTTGCGTGTTTTAGCAAATCCCTGGACAAGAAAATATAAAAATGACGGTCATCGAAGTTAATTTTTTACCCCGGTAAATAATGTCGGAATAAAAGAATGTGTCCACGATGTTCTAAAATGGAATTAATTATTGTTTGATTTCGGGTATTTCCCTAATTATAGCTGTCTTCTACTACCGTATTTATGTGTTTAACGAAAGAGTCAAACTACGACGGCATTGAACAGGCAAGTTGGAGAAAATACGTTATATCACAATTCAAGGAAGTTTTAACTACGTTTGTATAAAACACTATTAAAATACTGTACTCATAAAAATACTAGTTTATTTTCTCAATACGTTAACATCACGGGTTAAATTAAAGAGGTTTACATGTTCTGATACGTAGTATCTACGTAAGAATCTCTAGAAATCGATAAACAAAGCCTCGTCCTATCTTCCAAATTCGTCCTATCTAAGGATTTTTTAAAAATTACGGCTGAAAATGAGCCTTTCGACCTATACACCCCATCGACATATACCCCAAAACTTACGGTATTTAAGAAAAGATATTTTTGTACTTGCACTGAAACTCAATTCATCACAAAAATATTACATTCATCATGGTGTTCTTATGTACATGCTACAAAATTAAATAAATTATTTTATTTGGCTTACACATGTACATGTAGCTTAAAACAGACTATAGTCTACCTGTAAGAACTATATGCGGTATATGCATATTTTTGCCCCCACAAAAGTCATTTTTTGATAATATCTTGAAATGTGCTGAATTGTATATATTGTATGAGAATTCTAAATTAGCAAAAAATGTTATAGTTTCAAAGTAGGTTATTAGCAATTTTTTCTTCTATGACATCACGAACTATTAGGATTTTGTGTTCTTTTTCAGGAACAGGAAAAAATGGACAAAATTTGTTCAATTTTTACTATAAAATTATACAGCGCAGGCCTGCTCCAGAACAATATTTACATATTTCATTGATATTATCATTCTACACATTATATCAAAATATTGAGTTGGAGCAGATTTGCGCTCGGTGACTTTTACTCAAAATATTGACATAATATACACCTTTTTCTGTATAAATCATGGAAATTTTGAATTTACGTCATTTTTCTGACGTCATATCTAACATTTGGCGTCATGGATTATGAAAATATTCAGTGCTTTGAAGTCTGCAGATATCCCCCTGTTTTAGAACATAATTATATATTTCTCCATCAAAGTTTGATTTTGGGGGCAAATATTGGTCATTACCGAATATAGTCCTTTATTTCTTTTGTTCTCAATATGCACCCCATTCCCACTTAGCCAACACACATTTACCTGTGTTTTACCTGTATTTTTTCAAAATGTTGACTAAGTGGGAAGACACCCTGAAAATGCACAATTTCTCTGACAATCCTTTTTTCTGTTTTGGTATAAGAAAACTAAATGTATCGTAATGAAAAGCACAGTGTCTCTTCTAAAATAGAGATTTTTCAGGACCCTAGGGCAGGAGTTAAATAATTTTAAGGTGGGGCTCTACTGATTGTTAGGTGAAAATGCATTCTTTTAAAATATTCATTGTTTCTGGGTATTTTGTAAAAATGGTGCATGATAATGATGAGCAAGGGTGTGTCCTCCAAAATTATGAATTTCATGCTCTTGTGTGGGGGTGGGGGGTCTGGTGTTATCTCTATAGACCAGGTTTTAAAATCTAATATCTTCGTAAATTAAATTTTCTTCAAAGATTAAGAGAAGCCAATGTTAGAGGGAACAAGATGGGTGCACTAAAAGTGCTGATCGAAGCACTTTTCTTTTGTTTAGTTTGCATCATGATAGTGACAACTGGGGGTATGTTAAGAAAATTAGATAGAGCTACCTTAAATTTTGTTATGGAGTATGTACTAGACTAATTATTTTGTTGATTCCTATCATCCTCCTTCTTTTGGCAACATATCTTTACCTGTTAGTTATTATTAGTCTTTACTTGTATCACAATGGATTTTTCATGGTGTTGTATTATACTTAGGTGACCATTTAACCCCTTGGGCTTTATTGTTAGAAACTTTGTCTATTTTTAAGGTACTGATGTGTCTGTGGAGGAAAGGAACCTTGTTTCCAGTGCCAAATTTGTGGAGCCGAATGGTAAAACTTTGATTTTTGAAAACTTTATTTAAAATAAAAAAAATAATAAAAAAATTAATTCATTTGGAATAATCTTCTATTTCTACCACAACTATTTTTTTCCAAAAGATTCACTAATAGTTATTTCAGAGGACTGAAAAAGAATTATTAGCATGAAGTTAACATCAAATTTTTTTTTGTATTCAGAGAAGAAAATTAAGAAAGAAATGAGGAAAATGACGAAACAAAAAGGGAAAAGCAAAGGTAATAAAATATAAGATTATATATATATATATATATATATAATTTATATATATATATTTAGTTAAAGAATTAGCTCTATTAAATATTGAAGTTGTTTTTCCCGAGAGGTTTTTATTCTTGAAGAATTTTTTTGTTTATTGGTAATCTATTGCTGGAAGCTCAAGTGAGCTTTTCTGATTACATTTTGTCTGTAGTCTGTCTGTCTGTAAACTTTTCACATTTTCAACTTCTTCTCTTTAAACATTGGGCCAATTTCAACCAAACATGCTACAAAGCATCCTTGTGTGAAGGAGGTTGAAGTATGCATGTTCAAATGAAGGGCCAAGCCTTCTTTCAAGGGGAGATAATTCAGAAATAGTGCAAATTTTGTGGTATCATTTAAAAACCTTTTTATATGAAAAACAGGAGCAAAAAGGTCGAGGCTTATTTAAAACCTTCTTTACATAGTAAAAATTCAAATTCGTTTAAATCATGACCCTCAGGGGTAGGGTGGGGCCACAATTGGGGATATAAGTTTCACAGAAATTTATTAGGAAAAATCCTTAGAAAAATCTCAAGAGCAGTAAAGCCAGTATTAGTTGCATCACTACATAGTGTAAATTCATATTTGGTCAAATCATGACCCCCGGGGGTAGGATGGGTCACAGTGGGGGATCAAATTTCTACATAGAAATATATATGTCATATTGAATGAAGTGAGAATATTAATATACATTCATGGTCATCACAATTTTTTGAGTTGGAAGAAACACAGTATCTTACTCTTGCAATAGAATTATTTATACATGTAGGTACTATTGAAGCAATATTATTTTCATGCAAGTTAGTGACCATTTTCAAATTCTTTTATGGGTGTTATTTGGTTTTGATTTCACCTTAACAACAAGCAATCATGATTTATTACCCTCTTGTTGTCTCTGTCTTTAGTTCAATTAAATAAATGCAGATTTTTAAACAGGTGTCAACTAAGATTTTTTTAAACCACAAACTATCAAGTATTCTTTGGTTTTTTAATAACAAATTTGGGGCAAAGAGATAAAAAGAAAGATAAAAAAAAAAATTGTGAACTTCATTTGTTAAAGTGAACAGGAACTAATCTGACTGAACTCGAGCGTTGAAAACTTGAGAAATGTCAAACCCTAACTCTAAATCATAATTTCTGCTCATATTTTATGAGTTTTTTTTGTATTTTAGCAAGTATGATACCCTATTATGATACCTTCCAAGCATTTAATAAATCTGAAACTACAGTATATTGCAATTTTTTTTGAAGATTGGCACTTCTACTGAGAATAAGTTTTATATGAACCCTTTTTTTTTGTCTTTTCTTCTCTTCAGGGTCAATCATTCTCTTCTATTTGAATACATATAAAATATCCCTTTCAAAAAAAATGTCACAAAAGGCCCATGGGCCACAGTGCTTGTTTGGGATGAATTCCTAATGAGGCGTCAAATTACATGAGTAAACATTCTTTTTAAGGTCAAGATCTAGTAAATGAGTTTAGACTTTCTTCTTGGTGCTAGATTCATTATGACGTCATAAATGATTTAAACTTAATTTTTTCCGTACTTTACGGCTTCAATAGAATTATGTAGAAAATAAAGCACTTTCATGGAATTCAATTTGATATCATGTCAAATGTAGCCCCAATACCCTTATTCCGTTTAATATCATTTTAAAGTAGAGATCAAGAAGATATGAAAAACCGTTTTCTAAGAGACGGTAGGCAATATTGATACATTTCCTTTGCCTTAAATGGAGAAAACTCCCATGTTTATAACTGACTTTCTTCATTTTTCATTGAAAATGGGCAGTTTATAATATGTTCTTCTGATGAATTTACCCCAAAATTATGTCTGGATACACCTTATTTTACCAAGCTATATTCGTAAAGGATCATTCGTAAAGGAATGTGTATCTCAAATTTGAGAAATCTGTGGGCACCTTTTATTCACTAGATCTTGAGCTTAATTGTAACAAAGTAAAAAGGAAATTATTAATAAATTTATTATATAATCTTGAAAATATATTATCAAATATATCAAAAGGTTAGAAACATTAAAAGTTAGAGTTAAATTTTTACCTTTACAATATTATGATAAACTTATATAAAAATGAAGTAATCTTCTTTACCCGGCCTTTTCCATAACACAAGTAACTTCAATAAGAATTGAAGAAATTAATTAATCTGTTTACCTCTACAATATGTAATAAAAATAGATAAAATTGTAGAAATCTAATGCCTTTACTCGGTTTCAAACCTGCATGATTGTAGCTTAATTGAAACAAGGATGATTAAAGGATTTTGATATTGAACTAATATAATTGCGTTTTCTGAGAGATTATTACACCGATATTTAAAATCAGGCCTAGAGGATTGTGTTTATGGATAAAGAGAGTTTTTTTTTTTTTTACTAGATATTGATATGATATTGTGCAAATAATGTGTAAACTGTTGTTTGCAAACTTTTTCTGCTTGAAATGAATAATAAAATGGAATTTGACATCCTTTGTCCCCACAAACTACAAACAGTTCTAAAATATGGATTTGTGGAAAAGTCTTGCATTTTTATAATGCCCTCACCATAAAATGGCCAGGGGCTTATAGTGTTAACCTGTTCCGTCATTGTGTCATCAATGACTTTCCGTTCATTATCTAGGCAACAGTTGCACACATTCAACTCAAATTTTACCTATGGCTATGCAATAGGAATATGCAGGTCAAGTTCAAATTTGGCTATGGTCCAATGATTTTGACAGAGTTATCCCTTTTGAACTTAGAAAAAAATAAGAATTTGTCAGTTTCCCCTTTCAAAATTTAGAAGGGATGTATGTATAAGGTTTAAATTGCATATGCAGGTAATTTCCTAAAGAATACAGGTCAAGTTGGAATTTGGTCATGGTCCAATGATTTTTGACAGAGTTATCCAACTTCAGAAAAAAAATCTTTTGTGCAAACAAATTTAATTCATATCTCTTTAGTTTTCATGTAGAATATTAATTTAATGTATCTATATTGCTACATTTCTTTATAGGTAAGGAATCAAAGGCAAAACAGAAGAAAATGGCATTTGATGGTATGTATATAAATTCACATCAACATCGATCTTTTAAAACAAAACTTTGGTGACAAGAAATTAAATAATAAATTTCATAATTGAATCTAGAAAAATACTAATATAAATCTTTCAACATACTGTACTTATATATGTATATATATACATTTGTGGTATCTCTCTATTATATAAACCTGCAGAGAACAAATATCTTCATACCTGTATGAAGTTTTTCTCAGGTCATAGGTCATTACGTGACCTATACTCACATGGAACAATAATATCTACATAAAAAGACATGTTCTGCTCAACAGTATTAGCATGCTTTTTATGTAATAGAATGTATAAAATACACAAATAAAATAATAATCCTTTACAATGTAAACAAGTAATTAATTCAGTTCTTTGATTTAATTTACATAGAGAATAGAAAACTAATAGTTTCATGTCAACTTCACAGTCTCAACATTTACCCTTATTTTTCTTTTAGTTAAATCCACATCATAAACTTTAAATGCTATTCTATATATTTTTTTTCATTAAACATCACCCATGATAATTCTGTTAATGTTGGAAAATATCAATGCAATGCAAACACGGCATAAAGAGCTGACAAACACTTTGGTTTACAAGCACAATTCAATCATCAAGAGCATTGTCTTAACAGTGTATGCTGTTGCCAGTGTCTCTGTGTTTACATCATAATAAATACGCCTTACAGGAATCAAAGATTTACTGTTTTTGATCAAATTTTATATTTGATTTCAAGTTAACTGGCTCTGACAAGTGTCTCCATCCATACCTTTTCAACTGAAATTAATTCCTCCAACTTTTGATTAACAAACTTCGGAGGTGTTTCTGTGACTTCAGCATCCAATATTGATTCTCACGAATTCAAAAATTTCCAGACAACAAACTGCTCACTATGGTTGATCACAAGTTGCCTATAACAAAATATTACTTTCAAAACAGAATCCTCTGTCTGATGAATTTGAAACATAACCGCTTTTCAAGCCGATTTGCACCTTGCGTAATTTTGTCAAAATCTATGATGTACAGTTAGTGCAAAATTTATACTCAATTATATTTGATTGTCCATCTCAAATGTATATATAAGTAATAAAAAATAAGTTTAAAAACTTCAATGGGAACTGAAGTGGGTCGGTACGTGATCAAATCTTCTGAGAAGGCCTATGGCCTTCACAGGATTTGATCACATGACCGACCCACTTCATTTCCCATTCAAGTTTTTAAACTTGTTATTCTTTTCTTAAATGTAATGATATATTTTTTGATGTATTTTGTAAAGAAAGGTAATACATGTTTTTAATTGCTACTTTAAATTGATAATTACAGACAATGAACCAGGATTCTACTATGTAGATGAAATATTAAGTGAAAGGAAGAAAAATGGAAAATCAGAATTTCTTATTAAGTGGGAAGGGTATGAAGATCCCACGTGGGAACCAGAGAGAAACATCCCCACACATCTTATTGAGGAGTTTAAGAATGTCTGAAAATTTAATAATTATTGTGTCTGGGAATGTGAATAAATTATTAGTAAGGATGGCAATTGTAAATTTTTTTGTAACCAATTAGTTGTAGATTTTTTGGACAGAGTAACCAGTTAATGGAACAGATAAGACTTGTTTAGAACTTTATTTTGAAATATTGTATTTTATTATGAGTTTTAATGCTTTTTAACTGCTTAAATTGAAAGTTGTGGGAATTTGGGGGGGAGGGGGGGTGCATACATATCAACCTCCAACTAATTTTTTCTGATCATTGAATGCAAAAAAGTGATAAAGTGCAAATTTTATTAGTCTTCTGTTTTTGTACTATTTGTTGTTAAATTTTACTGCCTCATCTTCCCTTAATTAAAACATTGCCAAGATAGCAATAGTGATGGCAATTTGCTAACATAGATACTTAATTTTAGGGATGTAAAAAAATTCCTTGTAAAACGTTGCTGAGTAGAAAATTTATTTTTAATTTATGCTAATAAGAACTGAAAGATTTTTTTTTCACACAGGGTACTCAAATTTTAATTAGTATTAATAGGGATATGATTATGAATTATGGAGACTTTTTGAGATGGCAGTTTGCCTTGTAAATCATTTAATGATTGATTTTAGCATTTGAGATTGAAACACTCCTCCTAGAAATAATGTTCAAGAAATAAATATTATTGATGTTTTAAAAGTACAAACATGGTGTATACTGCAAAAAAATGGTGAACTTGTTATGGAAATTGTTTTTGTTTTGTTTTGTTTTTTTTCCCAACTAGAGTAGATAGCTACAGTGTAATTACATAAAGGATAATTAATCTTAATGTTAAACAATAACAAAAGTATTTTACATAAATTTTAATTACTTAGCAAGAGGCCTAAATGCACATGTGTACCTATAATTCTAAAGAGCTACTTTAATTAACCAAATTTACCATTGATTGTGAATTGTGATGAAAAAAGGTGTATACTTGGAGATGATTTTAATTTCATCCCTATACCACATTCAACGTACTAGCTGTAACAATAAAGAGCTGAGAATACGCCATGTTTTATCATTGTCATACATGTAGAATATCTCATTATAGTATTTACTACATTGGTGGTGTTTTACAGTTAAAATGCATTTATTAGTACACAACAGTGGACAACTTTCAAAGTATATGTTGTTGTTGATTAATTTTATGTAATGCGTTTTCATTGTAAAATTTAGCTGATTTATTGTCCTTCGTGTTACTATGTTTAATGCTGATTCATTGTCCTTTGAGTTCCTGTGTTTAATTCATTGTCATTTTACGTGTTACTTCTTTTAATTAATATGAAACTATACATTTCAACTTGATGTGGGGAACTAATTAATTGTATGTGCAGTTCCTTTTTATGTCTCATACCAAATATGTATGTTTCTTCTTTTTATTTGTGTTTGTTTGCTATATATGTATATGTAAATTTTAATTGTGCTATAAGTGTTATGTTACCAGTTTGTTAAAGAGCTTTAAGCTATTGTTTTTTTGTAAAATGTATATAATTTGACTATAAATAAAATTTACTACTACTACAAATATTGGTCATTCTTGTTAAATTGAAGTCAGTAAATATTGTTTTAAACATAACCTTATTTACTTGCTTTAATTTTTATGGCAAAGAGATGTTGATCTTGAACATAGATCTTTTACTTCATAAAAAAATATGGAAATGGATGAAGAAAACCATTAATTCTACACTAGTTTTGAAATACCCTGTTGCTGAACATTTATTATTTTGGGTGAAACAAGTCTTGGTATTGAGAGAGAAAGGGATCTTTTCTATTTGTTCTGTATCATTACGTTTTCATAGTCAATCATGCTAAATGACTTCAGACTCCCATTCCTTTGCAAAACCCCAGAAATATGGCTCAATATTTGAAATAAAACCTTTGTTCTCTGATGAGTTAAAAGATTTCCCTTGTTATGCTTGGAAATAAGTATAAAGCAGATATTTCTTTAAAATAAATCATTTGGGGGAAAAAAAATGTAACAGCACATACTCTTCCAATTTTTTGGACTTCACTGACTTATTTCAACCGTTCAATGGGCATTACAGGTAATTAAAATGTTCACTCTCAACCACCATTGTTAATTTGCTTTTTTTATCTTTATGCGGCTGCATTGCTCTTTTCGTGCAAATTAAGATCATGGGCATGATTTTCTGAACTATTTAGTGCAAAAAGTTCATTTTAGCCGCATTTGGTCAATGTTTTATTTTTATGCGGCTTAATATGCTCGTTTCCTGCTATTCATGGAACATAAGTATAACAGTCTCAATTATTTTATGAAAAAGTTTATTTTAAGCGGCATAAGGCCAATATTTTATTTTAATGGGACTGTTTTTCTCATTTCATGCTATTCATGGGCAATGGCATACTATTCACAAATATTTTTTTAAAAAAATGTTCATTTTCATCCGCACTTTGTCCAAATATAAAGTAAATGCGGCGGAATTTGCGTATTTTATGAAAATAATGTTTATATGCAGAATGTACTAAAATATTTTGTGAAAAAGTTTATTTTCAACCGCAATAGGCAAAAATTTTACTTTTATGCGGCTGCATTTGCTTAATTCATGCCAATTAGGGTTCATGGGCATGATATTCCAACTGTTTTATGAAAAAGATCAATTTGCAGCCGCATGTGACCAAAATTTTATATTTATGCGGCTGCATTTGCTTATTTCGTGTTATTCATGGTACAATGGCATAATATTCATAACTATTTCACAAAAATGTTCATTTCCATCCGCACAAAGTACAATATATATCAAATGCGGTGAAATTTGTGTATTTTGTGAAAATAATGTTTATGTGCATAATATTCTTAACTATATTTTGTGGAAAAGTTTATTTTCAACCGCAGTAGCCAATATTTCACTTTTATGCGGCTGCATTTGCTTAATTCATGCCAATTAGGGTTCATGGGCATGATATTCCAACTGTTTAATGAAAAAGATCAATTTCAGCCGCATATGACCAAAATTTTATATTTATGCGGCTGCATTTGCTTATTTCGTGTTATTCATGGTACAATGGCATAATATTCACAACTATTTCACAAAAATGTTCATTTCCATCCGCACAAAGTACAATATATATCAAATGCGGTGAAATTTGTGTATTTTGTGAAAATAATGTTTATGTGCATAATATTCTTAACTATATTTTGTGGAAAAGTTTATTTTCAACCGCAGTAGGCCAATATTTCACTTTTATGCGGCTGCATTTGCTTAATTCATGCGAATTAGGGTTCATGGGAATGATATTCCAACTGTTTTATGAAAAAGATCAATTTGCAGCCGCATGTGACCAAAATTTTATATTTATGCGGCTGCATTTGCTTATTTCGTGTTATTCATGGTACAATGGCATAATATTCACAACTATTTCACACAAATGTTCATTTCCATCCGCACAAAGTACAATATATATCAAATGCGGTGAAATTTGTGTATTTTGTGAAAATAATGTTTATGTGCATAATATTCTTAACTATATTTTGTGGAAAAGTTTATTTTCAACCGCAGTAGCCAATATTTCACTTTTATGCGGCTGCATTTGCTTAATTCATGCCAATTAGGGTTCATGGGAATGATATTCCAACTGTTTTATGAAAAAGATCAATTTGCAGCCGCATGTGACCAAAATTTTATATTTATGCGGCGCATTTGCTTATTTCGTGTTATTCATTGTACAATGGCATAATATTCACAACTATTTCACACAAATGTTCATTTCCATCCGCACAAAGTACAAATATATATCAAATGCTGCGAAATTTGTGTATTTTGTGAAAATAATGTTTATGTGCATAATACTCTTAACTATATTTGTGAAAAAGTTTATTTTCAACCGCAATAGGCAAAAATTTTACTTTTATGCGGCTGCATTTGCTTAATTCATGCCAGTTAGGGTTCATGGGCATGATATTCCAACTGTTTTATGAAAAAGATCAATTTCAGCCGCATATGACCAAAATTTTATATTTATGCGGCTGCATTTGCTTATTTCGTGTTATTCATGGTACAATGGCATAGTATTCACAACTATTTCACAAAAATGTTCATTTCCATCCGCACAAAGTACAAATATATATCAAATGCTGCGAAATTTGTGTATTTTGTGAAAATAATGTTTATGTGCATAATACTCTTAACTATATTTGTGAAAAAGTTTATTTTCAACCGCAATAGGCAAAAATTTTACTTTTATGCGGCTGCATTTGCTTAATTCATGCCAATTAGGGTTCATGGGCATGATATTCCAACTGTTTTATGAAAAAGATCAATTTGCAGCCGCATGTGACCAAAATTTTATATTTATGCGGCTGCATTTGCTTATTTCGTGTTATTCATGGTACAATGGCATAATATTCACAACTATTTCACAAAAATGTTCATTTCCATCCGCACAAAGTACAAATATATATATCAAATGCGGTGAAATTTGTGTATTTTGTGAAAATATTGTTTATGTGCATAATATTCTCAACTATATTTTGTGGAAAAGTTTATTTTCAACCGCAGTAGGCCAATATTTCACTTTTATGCGGCTGCATTTGCTTAATTCATGCCAATTAGGGTTCATGGGCATGATATTCCAACTGTTTAATGAAAAAGATCAATTTCAGCCGCATGTGACCAAAATTTTATATTTATGCGGCTGCATTTGCTCATTTCGTGTTATTCATGGTTCAATGGCATAATATTCACAACTATTTCACACAAATGTTCATTTTCATCCGCACACAGTCCAAATATATATTATATTATTTTTTATTAGTTGGAGCTGTTGCTTTCATATTTTACATATTTATTCCTTGTGACAAGGCCTTTTTTTGAGTTTTACCTACTTTTGCAAGAATTTGCCAAACTTTAACCTTGGCCATAACTTTTGAACAGTTAGTGCTAGGGCTTTCATACTGGACCTTTTATACTTCACATGTGTAGTTATTGTGACAAGACCTTTCCATGGAAAATTTTGACCTTTAGTTCGACCCTCTTTAAAACTTTTAATCTTGAGCCTTCATATTTCACATGTGTGTTTCTTATGATATGGCCTTCCTTTGTACACCAACTTTGACCTTTGGCATACTTTTGAAAACTTTAACCTTGGCCATAAATTTTGAACAGTTGGTGCTAGGGATATTATATTTCTCATGTATATTTTTAATGACAAAGCCTTCTCCTGGGTACCTTTAATTTGATCCTTGGACCTTTGATCTTGGCATTTGACCTGCATTTAAAAAAAAACAAAACTTTAATCTTGTCTAAAACTTTTTAATGGTCAGTGCTTGGGTTTTCTTATTTCACAGTTATCTTTATTGAGACAAGTCCTTTCTTTGGGTAACAACAATTTTCTTGACCTTGGAGTTGACTTGCATTTGAGAAACTTTTACCTTCGCCAAAAGCTGCCATACGAGGGCATCATTAATTACTGGACACTGTAATATTTATTTGCTTTTGGATATATATATATTTATATTTACAAAACAAATCAACCACACATTAAACTTCAAATCAGTAAACAACGAGAGTACTGATTATTAATAATAAAACAAATATTCATAAGAATGACCGTGTAATGGAGTATTTAAACCACAACAATTCAAAAGTTTCAATTTATGTCTACAATATCCAAAATATTAAATTAATATCTAATTTTCTAACCACTCTATGTATTTCCACTGAAAAGTCAAAATTGTTCATTAGTGGCAGTTTCTGAACATTATATCAATTTAATTCTGAACAAATCAAAAAGATGAAGTGAAAAGTAGGCCTATAACCAACTGCAATCTAAAACTTTTTAAAATAGTCTAATAACATCCTCTTTTCCTTCCCAGTGGCAAATGGGATAATAACATTAATTTTCATGTTCAAATTCAATTTATTCTCTCAAACCAATTATTGGTACATGAGGTTCTATGTACAATATATACAAAAAAATATACAAGATACAGGTGAAATGACGGAAACACATGTCAATATTGCAATAGATGTTGAATAATGGCTTAGATTAATCATTAACCAATCAGTGTACATGAATGAATCTAACATACGTAAGTCTCCACAGAAGTTTTGTTTAAATACCTTTTAAACATTTAAAAAAGATACAAAATCTATTGATGAAATGCAATTCTTTCTAGTATTTGAAAGCCAAAGAATGTGGAAATATTACAGGATGAATATGAAACAAAAACTATCATTTAATGCTGAACATTTATGAAAAGAAAGAAAAATTAATTTTTCAAGGGCAATAAATTTTCAAAAAATTGTATCATTGATAAAATGATGAAAATAGAACTTTAGTATAAAGACTCTAGCAAATGTGAACTCATTATATACCAAGACATATATATATATATATATATATATATATATATATATATATATATATATATATATATATATATATGAAAAAAAAAAACCCACATACAACTGGAAAATAGTGAACTATAAAACACTGTACACTATGAGGCAAATAATTTCAACTTACATATGAAATTTAAATTTGGTGAACAAGTCATTTAAATTGATTTAAAAATAACCTCCTTTTCTCCACACACAGCAAAAATAATTAAATAAATAAATAAATAAATAAATAAATAGAGGATATTCAATGTTTTGTAGATGAATATGGAATTTATTTCACGAGTGGGACAGGATTTTTTGATATTTTCACGAGTGCGAAGCACGAGTGAAAATATCAAAAAATCCTGTCTCACGAGTGAAATAAATTCCATATTCATCTACAAAACATTGAATTTTCTGTTTATTAGATTTTCGTTGATTTTCCCTTTGCCTCTGTCTTCTCTTAACACAGTGTAATAGCTTGACGTCATAGTTGAGCGGTTGAGACGTCATAGCTTAGCAGTTGTGAGATTGAAAAACATTACTTAACATGGATTTTAGCCACATATTTGGGAAGAAATGTGCAGTTTTAGCTCTACCAAGATGGTTAGTTACTATCTCTATCTTATGACAGGCCAGAAATTATTTTTTACTTGCTTTGATATCCTTTCACACTGTGAGAGAATATCATTTTGGTATCCTTTCACGCTGTGAGAGAATATCACTTTTATTCAATTAATAAATCACAGTATTTCACTGTTGAAAATGTAATAAATATGTATATAAATTGTTTCAAAGTCTGGACAACAATATTTAGTAATTACAAAATTAGGGCAGAAAAATAAACAAACAAACAAAAAAAACCTGAGAAAATGGTTCAATTAACGTTGAAGTAAAATTTGATCATTGCATTAGTAGAAAGACATAAACAAAGGTCCAGCTTCTTATCAACAAGCACACTAAAAAAAAGTCCAGTAAACAGCAGTTAATTACAAATATCCATTATAAAAAAAATGGCAATAACTTTCATAAAAATGATATAATGCCCAATTACATTTGGCTGCATGTGTATTCTTTTTAGCACCTTGGTGGAAAGAAACTTTAAGTAAAACACTAATTCATTTAAAACACTAAATGTCTTGCACATATATATATAAATATTTACATTTAGTATTTTTTCCTATGAACTCCATTGAAAATTTAAAACATTCAACCCCCTATAACACACAAGAAACCTTGTCACAGGGAAGCAGAATACATATTAGTAACCACAAGCATTTCAGTACACCAGAACACCAAAACATATATTGTTTTGGCTCAATTCATTTAAGAAATGAATTTAATTTTTGAAGATTCATGAGGACATGAACTACGACGCTTCACGCCAGCATATTTCATGAAGCACGTTAGCGCTTCCTGATAAATATGCCGGCATGAAGAGTTGTAGTTCATGTGCCTCATGAATCTTCAAAATTAAATTCATTTCTTATATTTACATTATTTTTTCCACAATTTACGCAATTCAACTGTCATTTTTAAAGCAAAACAGTTTGCACTATAGTTTTGACGTCAAGTACGTTATTATGACGTAACAATGGAGATATTCATGCTCATCCATGGTAGTTCATGAGAAAATGAACAGTATTTGAATTTGCGAAGAATCTTAAGGAAAAATATTTGTAAATGTAAATATTAAACAATAAATACCTAATTCATTAAAAAAAAAAACCTAATCTAATATTCCAAAAATATAACAACTGTACCAGGTACATGGAGAAAAAAAAAGAGACAGATAGACATGATGATTATGGTACACCCTCAAAATAACTTTGTGGAGTTGCTTAGGGTTGGTTGAAATAACAATAATGATTTCATTCAGTGTCACTCTCATCAGATTCAGACAAGTCAGATACTTCACCAAATATACAATCTATATCAACAAAATCTGTCTGCAGAGGCATGTCAATGAAGGAATGAATTTGACTCTCAGCGCTTTTGGCAGAAAACTCAGACAATGATAATAAATATCTGATCCACAGTTCTTCTGCCTTCAGCTTAAACATCATAAGCATGTGTTTACGCCCAATTTGATATCTATCTTCTTGTTTAGATTCAACTATAAGATTTAATAATTTTTGGTTGGTATCATCAATATATTTAAGCAAAGCTTTAATTTCTGTATTTGTCATGTGTTCCTGTTCCATTGCATGTTGGTGGAGAGAGTAAGCCTGGCAAGCCTTAATTTTGCCATCATCTAGGATGGCTGTAATTTCCAAATCTTTGTAAATTGCAGCAGTTGGTATGCTGACTTCAGCAAAAGAAAAACTTTCACTGAAGTTGCTATTAAATTCTTTGAGACACTTCTTTATTCTCTCACTGTTGGAGGACAACTGCTTAGAAATTCTTTTTGTCATTTCTTGTCCATCTGTCCAAATTATATAAGAACATTAGAAAATTAGAAGTTGCATTCATGCTCAATTGCATACACAAATTACTAAAATTATGTAAAACACTGAAATAATTACAAAAACAAATTAAGGAAAATCATCTTATTAGGGTTTAAATGGTTGGGAGTCAAAACTCATCTTTACATATACATTAATTTTGAGATATTGATGTTAGAGATAAAGATGTTAAACTGTATTTAGCAATGAATAAAAGAAAGATAAACATTTTTTTTTTACCGAAATATTTCTTCAGCAAGGACAGAATGTACTGCCTTTCATTGGCAAACATTTGCAGTTTTTTAAGATGCCCATGTCTTAATTTATTTTTCGCAGACTCAGAAAGTTCTTCTTTCCTGGCATCCAAACTTTGAACATCTAATTGTAAAGTTTTCTTTGCTTTTTTCAATTCACTTTCTGTTCTGCAAAAGAATAAATAAAAAAATCTAAACATCAACAGTTTTAAAATTTATTACAAGCAAAAGATAAATCTTATCAACATGCTGTTTATTCTGCTATTTGGTGTCATAACAGTATTTCACTTGAGGTTCACGTCAAATCATGGCTGACGCAAAATAATTCCTGAATCTTCCCTTCTGATTCGGGCATTTTAACACGAGACTGGAGCTGAATTTTTTTATGAGATGAAAAACAACATGTAAACTTCCTGTATTGACTAGATTCATTATAATTTAGGGCGTGCTGATTTTTCTATATACTGAATTTGAGTGGGGAGTGATTAGGTCCTGGACTTGATTTTCAAGCACCTGCTCGACTTCGACCGAAACAAACTTGCATGCCTTGCTGGATGCCTGTGTATTTTTTGGTACTAAAATCTTTATAAAGAATTGTTTTACAAGATCTGAAAAGGAAACTTCTCAAAAGTTTGTTTTCAATTAATACCACCTACTCAAATTTGCGCATTTTTGGTAAGAATATATAGCAAAATTTAATACTGTTGTGCAACCGTGTTCCTTTACTAGTCACTTTTGTTAAAATTCAGATCCTTTTCAAAAAGTTTATATAGCTATGTTAAAAAAATATATGCAAAATTAAGCTTTAAAAGGGGTTATAAACGTCTTTTCTCAAACTTTACTAGTTAAACCTTGTTATCTCAACTTGCCATGATTCCGATCAAACTTTAAAATGTATTCCAAGAATTAGAAAAAATGAAGTTAAAACATCAAGAAAAAGTGGTTGAACTTGAGACTGCCATTTCTCTGAAAATGATAATGTTTCTTTGATAACATGAAACTAAACCATAAAACTATTCAAATGGCCATGGACAGCAATTAAGTAATAAATTAAAATTACATTTTACTTAATTCTGAGAACAAGGGCACTGCAAAACATAGCATCCCCTTGCAAGGAGCATTTCTATAAATTAAGGCAGCACTAAACATCAATCCAAATGCAAATTATGTCACTTCCATTTCCCACAAAGGATAAACTAACCCACATACATGCGTTACTACATTCCCTTCCAACTCCGTTGTAAGAGGCTAATAAGAGCACTGCTAAGTGGAACATCTTGCAAACAAGCACATTCCTTATATGTACAGTGCAATAATACAAATAGCATTGATCCTCATATAAATAATTAGTTTTATGACATGTAAGCTCACAGGTCCACTCAATAGAGTGTTGATAAGGTGAATTTAACAATTAATAAATATGAAAAATCTAACAGTAAAGAGGTTTTTTGTAACCATATGCAAGGGACATGGAACAATTCTATGTAGTTTAATACAGCTACTGCAAAACTATTGTTAATTTCCCCAATGCATACCAGAATAACCACTTTGTAGTAAACCAGCTGAATTAAGAAAAAATCTTTTTAATTATATCAGCTAGAATTTAGGATTTCTATTAGGAGAAACATTTTCAATGAGTAACTGAATGGAAAAAGGTAGATGATCAGTATCCAAAAGACAGTCCAGTACTCAGTTACTTGTGGATATCACTAATACTTACACACAAACTTACTTTTGAATATGGCCTTTCAATAGTATTTTTTCATCCTCATCAAGGGAATCAGCCAACATTGTCCTGCAAATAATATAAATATCAAAATGTTTCATATCAAAATATATCTGAAATGAATACATGCAGATGCAAAGAAAAATATATTTTATTAATTTCAAATACATTCGAACCTTGTTATAATATTATGAGAGATATCAAAGATTCATGATATCAGGGTTAAAATACTTAAAGAATAATTGGTAAGGATTTCCAAATCACCTCCACATATCCAAGGTATTTAAGATATCAGTGTTTGAGATACCAAAGTTTAACTGTATATCTATAGCTTGTAAATAATTTCAATCCATTAATAACATTTAGTTCCCAATTAATCTTATACAATTTGATAAAGATTATTCAACTTTAAAAAGTCTAAATAAATTCTTTAAACTACTAGCTACCACAAAACAATTATACTTTCCATTTGATTAACCAAAAAAAAAATATTATTATCTATTAGAAATAACCATTTGAAGTCTTTGAAGTAATTCTACTTACCTCTGTGTAACAATCTGATTGGAAAGCCAACAGTATCTTTCATCTGGTGTTAAGGTGACTGTAAGAAATTGACAATGAATATAGCATTAACTGGTTATACGAGTACATATGGGAAGTGTAAAAATACATGCATGCATGGTTCTAATGAGTCATGAAAAGACAAAAAAAAAAAGAAAAAAAAAGAAGGATTTCATGATAATCAGGAAAATTCTGTTTCAAAGAAATAAATATGTTACATCTGTAAATAGCAATATACAATTTTACTCGATATAAAGAAAAAACAACTCTAAGCTCATTACTCAGTAGCATTCAATCTTACCAGAAACCTGTCTTCCACTTCTCGATAACTCTTTCCAGAGTAAAAACCATTCTGAGGAACTACCTTCAACAGATAAACATTTTTGATTTAGTGAAGTAAATTCATTGATAGCCTCTCCATGCTTCATCCTAATTATTTTTTTTACCTTATCAAATTTCATAAATTTATAGCATACCATCATGTTTGGCTTCAACAGCAGTGTACACATCTCTGGTTTCTTGTATTTTTTTGGCTTTCTCCAGCATGGCCTTCAATCGTTCGCCTTAAAGTTATTTCAAAATTCAAATTATAAAACAACAAATATCAGTGTATCAAATAATAAAAATATGTTTACTAATAAATAAATCATACAGGAATTCTATAAATCTAATAATCTACCTCCAAAAATGGATAAGTTAAAGATATTGTCATGTAAAAAGAAATGTACCCAATTTTTCTTTTATTCTATTAGAATAATGTTCAAGTGCATCCACAATCAAATGTTGTCTATTTGAAACAGTCATTTCTTTTGTGATGGAACTGAATTTTCTGAGGTAGGACCACAATCTCTCTACACCTTCTCCATCATTTAGTCCAGTTCCTTCAACAAACCTCTGCCCATATTCAAGCTGAAAAAAGTTTTGGATCAATATATTACATTTTATTTGGCAAAATTTACTTTTTGGCTTTCAAAACAAAGACAAGTCTGGATATGAACATATTTAATTTAAATTGGGGATGATTCTAACTAGAAATTGTTATGCTGTAATCAATAGGGTCTGAATTTAAAGACAAAAAACTTAAAGAATTTAACATATTATCAACATATTTTGGAAATTGATATGCCAGTTAATTCACTTTGTTGACTGGTTTCCACTGTAGGGCATTCATCATCAAAACAATTAAGAAATTTAAGAATGAAAAAATTGCAGCTGACATTCTCACAAACAAGTTAAAAATAGGGTAGATTTTTACACTTGCAGATTTCATTTAAATCATATCAATAAATCTGTTTCACAATTTCAACTATTTCATTCACTCCAGTAATCACCTATGCCCCCTTAAACTTGCTATTTCCAATTTAAAAAAAATAATGCCAATTCTCCCAAACACTTAATTCAAAAAATATTCTTTTACAATAAGATATTACACAATAATTGAGAACTATATGTGTCGTAACACCATCAGTGCCCCCGCAGGTAGCCAAAATTTCAATTGCCGTACTGATTAGAAATTGTGAGTTTTTAAAGAAATATAAATCTTTTCTAAGTACAATGGGGATAACTGTCAAAAATCACCAGACCAGGACCAAATTCGAACTTGACCTGTATTTTCTGGTAAAATATCTTCACATCTAGGCAATTTCTACCTTATACATACATCCTTCCAAAAGTTAGTGAGGGGAAAGTGAGAATTTCCTATGTTTGGCTAAGTTCAAGAGGGATAACTCCGTCAAAAATCATCAGACCACGACCAAATTCAAACTTGACGCATTTCTATGATGTATCCATATGTCAAATTTGAATTGAATGTGTGCAACTGTTGCCAAGATAATGAACGGAAAGTCAATGATGACGGAATGACAGAACAGGTTAACACTATATGTTCCCGACCATTTTATGGGGGATGCATTAGAACTAAATGCCGAAGAATTCCAATGCCTTCACAGTGTGCTAAACGATTAAATTTAGGCAGCTGCATTTGAAAACAATCAGCATACTTTTATATTATAAATTTTAATAAAGCATACCTGGCATGCCATATTATGTGCATAACTGTGAAAAACTGGCACAACAAACTTGAAATATGCCTGTAGGTCTTTGTTTTCTTTCTGTTTGACAAAAAAATGAAGTAACAATAAATAAAAACAGAGTTTTAATGAGACAGTTAGGTCAAAAATATTTCTAAATCTATATACTGATTTTTATTATTTATACCTGCAAGTGTCTCTTTAGGCTACATGCTATGTCATACATAATAGTTCCTGGTCTTTCATCCTGCTCAGAATTGTCAACCAAGTGTTGTAGGAGGTGCACTGAATATGCCAATCTAAATAAATTCAGTAGAATCTAATCATACTGTAACTTGTAGTACATTATTCAAATGAAATTTCATGACTTGTCAACAACTATTTACATATGTACACATTTAGTATTTTAAAGAACTGACAAATTTTCAAAAAAAAGAAAAAAAGAAAAAAAAAGGAACTAGTCTTTTTTCAATCACTGAACAAAGAACATTATGTACTACCTCTATATATAACCATACTTTTCCTATTTCCATTAATTGTTGCAGATTATAAAGTATATGATCTCATATCAATACACTCAAATATATGAAGTCCGTTTTTTTTTTTTAAAATTAATTACCTTTCACCATGTTTCAGATTTAAAAAAATCTGTGGGATATCATGTTGGCACACAGAACCAAATAAACCAGTGATATCTAATTTATCAGTCTTCTTTTTAGAACGGATGATATTTCCTGCTTGAAAATCTGAGCAATTCTGAAACATAACAAGAACACATTAAAAAAAAGTTGCTGCATTTTCATTCTAACTGCATACCTGAAACACTCTTTATGTCTAACAATGATGCAAGCTGTGTATATGATGTAAGATTGGAAATCACATGACAAAAACAATCCAGACTTTTGATAGCAACATAGCTAGCCAAGGGATTGTGAGCAAAGTAGCAGATTAGAAACCCTTGGCTAATAAAGATGTTGCAATGCATTATATGCATGATATTTCCTGCATACAATAGCCAGCAAGTTACATGTATTCATACTATGAAATTGAATCAAACTGACAATTACGATTTTATATGCATCACTATGAATTTGGTAATACTGATTCAAGAACAATAAAGATTGATATCACTAATACTAAATCACAGTTTTCTATAAATATGTATGTCATATTTTTTGGGAAAGATATGCCATTTCAGAAACCCAAAATATAAACATTTATCTTAATATAACAATCAAATCAACAACATTCCTCTATAAACTCATTTACTTTTTTTGCCTTTTCTAATTATGCTAATTAATTGATACAGCCTTATGTGAACCTTCTTCAATAAAATAAAACACTTACAATACTTTGCTTTTTGGTATCTAGACCATAAGTTGACACAAATGCGTCAACTTTGTCTTGGTCCATGAAAAATCTTTCTTTTCTTCTGGGTATGCCACTTCCCTCTCCTGATGATTTCTTATGTACAAGACCAAAGTTACCATCCAAGGAAAGTATTTTAGTTACTTCACTCTGAAAATTTATATTGTTAATATAAATACACCTTTTCATTATACTTACATTTTTTCCCCAAAGATCTGTTTAGATATATTTACATTTCCAAATATTTATCCTTAAGTTTCTTTGCAAATTAGAAGATTGTTCATTTTCCCATGAACTACTGTGGATGAGCATGAATATCTCCAATGTTACATCATAATACCATACTTGATGTCAAAACTATAGTGCAAACTGTTTGGCTTTAAAAATGACAGTTGAATAGCGTAATTTATGGCGACACATCAGAAAAATAATGTAAATATAAGAAATGAATTTGATTTTTGAAAATTCATGAGGTACATGAACTACAACACTTTACGCCAGCATATTTATCACGAAGCGCTGATGCACTTTATGAACTATGCCAGCATAAAGTGTTGGCGTCATAATTCATGTCCTCATAAATCTTTAAAAATTAAATTCATTTCTTAAATAAAGACAATTTATGATACTCTTAGACCTAGATATCTCATCATAAAAAAATGATTGCATTACAACATGTAAAATTTTAATTTGTATAGTAAAACTTACATTATCAAAACTGACAAGTGCCAGACTGATTGAAACAGATGGATTAGAGGGTCCAGTGGCTGATTTACTGAGAATTTAGTGTTTAGTGATTTATCATTAGAGATGCCCGATATTGAAATTTGCAGACTGGAAGTATACCATACTTCAGCATAAATTTTATGTAAAATTTTAGCCAATGTTAAATACACAATGCACACAAAAATCTTCATATCAAAGCAGTGTTTCACACCTCTATCATGTGGACAATTAATTCACTCCTCTGTCCACTGACAGTTATACAGTGAATGCTGCATTTCATTTCCGGAATTTTGCATAGCATTGCTGACATTTATTTTTTTCATTTCTGGGATTTTTGCAGGGTTTGTGAAAGTTCACAACACTTCCATGTGCCTCAGGAAAAAAAATCTTATTTTCCCTTTATTAATAGCTATGCAAAACTCATTATTTAGATTTTAATGATTTATTCATCATCTATTCTTAAATATTTTTTTATAAGTAAAATCTTCAATCCTGCTTTCATTTCCGAAAAGTACTACATGAAAAATGTTGGAGATGAAAACTTTAAAATGTCGGAAATGAAAAGTTGAAAATTTTAAAAAAAATTCCAGAAATGAAATGCAGCCTCAGTGAAACTTGTAAAACCTGGATGCTGTATACTCTGAAATCTTGCAAATACAAAAATGTGAATACATTCACATTTTTTTTCTAATAATCTTTGTTAAAATAAGCAATGAGTAAATGTCACTTTTCAAGTGTAGATCTTATGCAAATATCTTACATGATCGAAGAAAAACTGGTTTACCCATACTAAAAAAGTCAAGATACTATATTTCAAACAATTTTCATCAATATACATGAAATATATACCCATATCTCCCATTGAAGTTACTGGTAGATATTTCAGTTTACTTTAAAAAAAAAAAGGCTCAATCTGATATTGGAAAAGAAGTAACAGGTATCAAGATTCACTTTTATCATTTTTACACACATACCTCACTACAGATAGGGCATTCATTGGTACTTTCAATATGGTTCTCTTCATACATCTCTCTATTGTTAAACTGAGATCTATGGAAACGATATTCATTGAAAGAATCCCCAACAAGACTTTTGTATATATCTTTCACCTGTAGGTACAGAAACAAAATATTTAAGCTTTTTGCAATAAAAATATACATTTCAAAAGATAACTGGTTTTATTGATGCTGAAAATACTGTTCTTCAATAAACTGCTGCTTGATAAACTACAGTAAAACACGCTTATAGTGAACACGCTTATAATGAATTGAAACTTATAGCAAAGTGATTTTCATTTCCCATCAGACTTTAAAATATATTGTAAACTTAACAGATAAAACGAATTAGGCTTATAGCGAAGCAAAATCGCCTGTCCCTGGCACTTCATTATAAGCATGTTTTACTGTACTACAAAGGCAAAGATATATAGCACATCCATATATAATGTAAAATTGATTAATTTCACGGGGATTTATTTATTATAGTTTTCATGACATGAAGAGACTCAAGAATTCATAAATGTACACCCCCAACCCCAACCCCCCCCAACCCCCCAAAAATATTGAATTTCAATATTGCAGCATTAAAATAATGTTTCCTCTTTAATCACAAAATAAAATCTCTTTCAACAAGTAATGACTTTTCCTAGCCATAAAATTTTATCCCATGAAAATTAGTGATTTAACAGTATACAATTAATTGTATTCCAATTATATTTTGTTGTATTTAAATGACAATTTACTCAGATGTCATTCAGTTTCTGTCATCTTGATATAAATATTATTTCAGAATTTAATCATCATGCTAAAATAAAATTTATATGAATTGAACGATTCCCTTCAGGTCAAGTTTCTTTGATTAAATATGACTCAAAAGTATATTCTTCAGTCTAATTTGAATTGCCTACTGTGACCTTTACCTTTAATGAAGATTTTAAACTCAACAAGGCAGTGCATGCATCTCATTGTGACATGTCCATTGAATAAGATAAAGATGTGAATTAAGATATAGATCCGATTGGTTGTCTGAAACTTTTACTCCTCTCAAAAACTTCCCTAAGCCCACACTGACGCTGGCATAAAAAGCTCTTTCAAGTGTTATACCAGTAATTATTTCTTTTCTTTTCTTTTTTTAAACAAATTCCACTTCCCTCTTTTATCAATATTGCAATAAATAATGATACAAAGAAGACAACTGAGCAACATAATCATTACTACAATGCATCTCCTATCAGTCCTCTCTTAAATAGGATCTTCTATAAAGCAGTTGAGGTAAAGTTAATATATATATATATAGAGAGAGAGAGAGAGAGAGAGAGAGAGAGAGATATGTATATATAACAATAACAATTACCTCATCAGGTCGCACCATAACAGGAAATCCATTTTGAGATTGAATGATGGCATCACAGAAGGATTTTAAAGATAAATGCCCCTCAAGCTGAAGGACCACAGCCAATTCCATCAATTTAAAATCAAATGCAACACGGGGAGTTTCAGGAGAAGATGGCCAAAGTCTGTACCTGACCAAAGTGATAGACTCCTTCTCACACTTGCAAAATTGCATATTTATCTTATGTTGATGTCCTGAAATTCAATTAGAACCAATAAAAATGTTATTTTCAGGGTTATTCTTTTTTTTTAATAATTGCTTGAATAATTTCATATTGTTTACAAATTTGCCAAGGAAAACTGTTAATGAGAGTGAAATTCATTATAACAAATAAACTATATACATATGGAGGCTCAAAAACCTAAAATACTACCATTTGTGTCTGCATGTTTTTCAAATTTCTTAATCTTGATGACTTTTACTTTTAAAACATTGGTACATAATATGTTTCATATAAGATCTTTGATTTAAATTTTGAACCCTTCTTTTGTGGCCCTTTCCTAGCTCTGAGGGTCAAGACATATCAAATAAACTTTAATCTGCAGTAGATGGGGATGCTAACATACAATGACACTTATAAATTTCATTTGAGACAGAATACACTTAACTTGCTAAAAGATTTAAGCTTTATTTATATGCAAATATTTGTACAAACTATTCTATGCCTGTCCTAGCCCAAGGAGTCATGACTTGATCAAAATTTAATTTTTTGTTAGGGTCTGGAACTAACCCTCATTCACTGTAATGAACTACAGGTAATGTTAGCAAGTTCACAAAGTAATGCCCCCTGGTGCAATATTTTTAAAATGCCTATTTGTAATCAATTTTTGCATGTGTGTCCTTGATCTTGCCAAATTGTCCTTGATTAAAAAAAGAAAAAAGGACATGATTTTAGGTTTCAAGTATTCGTTGAGTGAAAGATGGACATCCAATTTTTTTCCATTAGAAAATACACACATCATAAATTTTACAATTATTCTGCCAGTGACCTTGAACTTGCCAGAATGAACTTGGAGCAAGATCAAGACACAACTGCAGGCATAAAAAAAATCTTTGTACCATGTATAAGGTTTCAGTGAATCTACATTACAAAGTACAGCTTGGAAAAGATTGCATATACAGACAGATGGCCAAGGTGATTACTATATCCCCACCCACCCACCTTTATTTGAGGGGGGGGGGTATAAACAGCTTAAAGAAGGGACAATTAGCTCTCTAAAACCAATTCTCATTTACTCAGGAAACGATTCAATTTTGTACAAAATTTTAACATCTCACAATTGTGAATGTTAATTTAACACATTTGAGGTGTGTGCGTTTCTTTTTTTTCTTTTTTTTTTTTTTTAATTGACAAAAGTACCTCCCCTTAATCTGAAGTGGGCATTTAAAAACAAAAAAATATGCTTTTTCAGTCTTTCTTACATTCAACTGCAAAAAATAAGAAAAAAAATTAAAAAATTTAAAAAAAACATTTGGAGACATAGATTATAAACTACAACAAGAGGCCCATGGGCCACAGCGCTCACCTGAGTAGTTTTTTCCCCTGCTGTTATTCACCTGATTTCCCCCCTTTTAATACCTATTGTGGCCCCGCCCTACCCCAAGGGGTCATGATTTGAATAATTTAGAATCTACACAACCCCAGGATGCTTCCACTTAAGTTTCAGCTTTTCTGGCCCAGTGGTTCTTAAGAAGATTTTTTAATGACCCCACCCTATTTTTGTTTTTTCTTGATTATCTCACCTTGTTAGGGGGCTTGGCCCTTTATTTTAACAATTTAAACTTCCCTTCACCCAAGGATGTTTTGTAATAATTTTGGTTAAAACTGGCCCAGTGGTTCTTGAGAAGAAGTTGAAAATGTGAAAAGTTTACAGACGGACGGACGGACAACGGGTGATCAGAAAAGCTCACTTGAGCTTTCAGCTCAGGTGAGCTAACAATTAGAAATGTGGTTACCTGATAGGCTTATCACAGCAAGGATTTTGGTGTAGGTGGTGGGACATTCCTTATGATCTTCCCTTCCAATGCATGTTTCTGATGAATTCTCATATGGGACATACATATCATTCTTAAAAAGACAAAGGAAATTCAAAAAATGCATATAAACCAGAAGGGATATTTATAAACTTTAATTTTGTAATTTTTGTATTAAAGTAACGTTCATTTTAAGGAAGTTCATATAATTGTGAAAAAAAAATTAAAAAAAAAAGTAAATAAGGCCAAAAATTTGTTTGTTTGCCCTCTCCCAACCGAGGATAAAAAAAATTGGGTAGGTAGGTAGGGGCAAATATTCTTTTAGTCAAAAACACCTGCAAATGTGAAGTTAAAATAGTTATTAATGAATAAAAAAAAAATTTGTTTCCTGGAGGTCAAAAAATTTTTGAATCAGGCTGTTTTTAGTCAGACGGTCGGAAGAGGGCAAACAAACAATTCTTTTTAAAGATGACCAGCTGATTATTATTTACTTTCCAAACACATGGCTTGTGAAAAAGCACTACACTGTGGAGTTTTGTGCAGCATGTTTCACAGTAGTATGCTGTTGGACCACAGTCTGGACAGTAGATAATATGCATCGTCTCCTTGCCACAAAAACAACATTCCCATGTTGATGGGCACATTTCCTCAATTCTAGCCCTTAGCATTGAAGGCTGTACTGTTTCCCATCCTTCTCGTTCTTTAGTTTTTCTGGATACATAAGTCCTTACATCTATTTTTCAAAATAAAATTAATAAAATATTCTAAAGTTTGTAATACATAACAAATTGGTTCACATGCTTATCTCTGATAACTTTGTTGCTTTTCCTTTCTTGTTATTTTTTTACTAAGAGATTAGACGGTCTTGGAGGACCCATGATAGACAATGAGCAACAGATTTAAAGTAAACCAGAGAACTGTAATCCCTAAATCTCAATCGAGTCTGACACCTTGGTCCTGATGTTTGTCAGGAAAGGTTTCACAATTTTTTCCCACTTTATTCCCATGAAAAATTTTGACCTCATATTGTTGACCCACCCTTCACCCAAGAGGTCTTGGCTTAAGTGGTCTGAATCCACATAAGATGGGGATGCTTCAGTATCAACATGAAAACACTGGTCTTGATTTTTATAGAGGAATTTAGACAGTTCATAATCATTATATACATGTATTACCATGAAAAACTTGATTCTCGTTCTGGAAGTAAAAAAGAAATGTGGTGGTTATATTTAAAGTCCTTATTGCTATGAGGATGCATGTAAAATTAATTCATACAATTACCTTCCTGAACAACTGAAGTTGATGGCTGATCCAACAGTTCCTCTGTGGCAATTTTCTTTGGTTTCTTGGAACCTGAACATTTTGGCTCAGACTTCACAAATTCAATTTCTTTTCCCTCTTCCTTGTATTTAATTACTTTAATTTTTTGTGAATATTTTTTACTTCTAAGTGGCATCTTTGCTTTTAAGTGGCATATCTGAACAATAAAAATGAAAAATACCAACATGTAATTCTGGACATAATACACTCAATATTGACCAAAGCTTATCAACATATGACAATGATTTCAAATAATTATTTGACCTTGACATAGCCACTGCTTCACTATCTGATCCTCAGAATGTAACCAAGCTGTAGAGAATGTTAATATGTAAATGTTAACATAAATCAAAAAAAAAAAAAAATTATGTCTAAATAATACCTTATCTTAAAATATGGGATCTAGCTATCAATACATAATAGTGATGAACATGGGCATAAGAAAGGGGGGAGGGGCCTGTGTCCCCCCAACAATTTTTTTTTTGCAGACATAATGATATAGAATATTATAGAAAACAAAGCTACTATATTTTGTATAAATATGCTCGTGTCCCCACAATAAACAAGAGGCCCATGGGCTCATCTGAGCTCTTCCTGTTCTTAATCAGCAGATTCATCTTTCAATTGTGTGATACATTCCAATATAAATTGCCAGTTGTAGCCCCACCCTATCCCCGGGGTTTATGATGTGAACAAACTTCAATCTACACTATCTGTGAATGCTTCCATGTAAATATGACTATCATGGTTTTCCTGTTCTTGAAGAGATTTTCAAGCATTTTTTCTTATATGTATTCCAATTGCCCATTATGGCTCCACCCTATGCCCAAGGTCATGATTTGAACAAACTTGAATCTACACTACATGAGGATGCCTACATATTATGACTAATCATGACTATGCTGTTCCTTGGAAAAGGCTTTTTAAAAATATTTCCTTTGTTTTCCTATGCAATACTTTGATTGCCAATTTTGGCCCCACCCTTCCCCTGGGGGTCATGAATGTAATAAATTTAAAATCTACACTACCTGAGAATGTTTCTTTTTAAATATGACTGATCATGACTATGCTGTTTTTAAGAAGATTTGAAAAGATTTTTCCTATATATACCAATGTAAAACTTTGTTTGCCCAAAGTGGCCCTGACCTACCTCTGGGGGTCATGACTTGAAAAAAAAAATTCTTCTTTTCTGGCCCAAATAGTTCTTGAGAAGAAGATTTTTAAAGATTTTTAAATGACCCTAACTTTTTACTATTTCTTCATTACCTCTCCTTGGAAGAGAGTGTGGCCCTTTATTTGAACAAATTTGAATCCCCTTTACCAAAACAAACTCGTTGAAAGTGGCCCAGTGTTTCTGGAGAAGAGGATGCAATTGTAAAAAAGTTATTATCAATTTCAGTCAAGTGTGCCATTTGGCATTACGTGACAATCTATCTCGACAGATGCACCCAGCGTAAACAATTCACGCCCCCGGTATAAGAACTGTGTGATTGGTCAAATCATTTTGTCAACATTGACACGGAAATAGTCTGTTGCACAAGCAACCAATCAGGGATAAGGAGAGACTACTATTTACCTTGAGTGCAGCTGTCCTCATAGGTTGTGTCGTAATGCAAAAAGGTACACTTCACTGGAATTAATAAAAATGACAACAACAAAAACGACTACAACTAACAACGGACTAGTTCTTTTTATGGCTTGTTATGGAATTCTTGGTGGTGCCCCCTCCCCAACTGAAAATATATGATTGTACTCCCTCCTCTAAACTGAAATTGCTTCCTTCAGGTCTGATAAATACAAATGAATAAGTAATGTTGAATTTAATTTAATATTACAAAATATTGATAGATGGGGTTAAGTCAGACATAGGTGTGAGCAAGTGTCATGTGGCTGTGGGTAAATACATTGTAGAGGCTAGTCCTTACTTTGCAAATTCATCTTTTCAAAAGTTGTGGCTTTGTGTTGGGTCAACCAAAAGGTCAAAAGGATCAAAAGAAATGATTTAGGGTGCAACAATATATATTGTGATGCAGTGGGGGATACACATGATATGATAAATCAATACATAAATATAAGGGTATTTGCAAAGACAAAATAGCAAAACTTATTTTGAATATAGAAATCTTTTTTGTAAGAATTTAAAAAAAAAGTGAAAATATTCATTTTGGTTTATTTTTGGTTACAAAGTAGGCTACTAAATAGACTAGGTCTATAATAGAAAAAGATTTTTTAAACATGTTAAAAAAAGTGTCATAATTTAATCTATATTTCCCTTCCTTAAAGATGTAGAAACTTCATGATGTATTGCGCCCCCCCCCCCCCAATTTGGCGGGGGTTTTTTTCAATTGAAAAGGGCGTACTGTCATTAATTTTTTTTTTTTTCAATGACCCATGTTCTTGGGAAATCAAAATACAAGAAGCAAAGACCTTTTTCCTGTAAAACATGTTAAAAGACAAAAGTTGCAAAGGGTTCTCTACATAGACCTATAGGCCTAGATTAATCTCAGCGAGATTCGTAGAGACTAAAAGTGTTGGTACGGTGTCTCTGCGGTCACCAGACCAAAATTTTTAGTCTCTACGAAGCTCGCTGAGATAAGGCCTAGATGGGAATTGAGAAAGATGGCGGCCAAGGGACAAAACTTTTGAAAAGCGTGGCTTCAACTTTCCTCGAGTTAGTACCTAGTAAGGAGGATGAGAACGATTAAAACGAGCCCCCTTTTCAATCAGCTGTTAAAACATTTTCTTACCTTCTACTGGACTGTTGACAAATGTTGCAGAAAGGTATGCCTGCGCCTTTGACCCATGGTACTGGTGTCCATCCACGTGACCGTTCTGAAGCTCCATCTTATCACGTGACTTCACAATGGGTACGGATAACAGAGACATTAAACAGATAGGCCTATGTATCCTACAGAGTGCAATTAAAGATGACCCATAATTTTTTGGGTATTTCATTAGGAAGTGTTAATTTATCACGCAGAGATATTCATGTTGTATTGTTTCATCGATAATACCACTACTCAGAGAAGCAGCGAGGATTTTTTTTTGGGGGGGGGGGGGGGTCCTTTATACCAGTCTGTTATACTGCACCGTGCTACATCTGCAGTTTTTTTTTATTTTCTCTGCATGACGTGAACGTCCTACTTTTATAAAATAACAAATTTTTATGGTTTATAATTAAAAAATATGTATATTATTTCTATCACAGTCAAATCTATATATAAGCCACCAACAGCTGATTAGCCTTTAATCATTTATATTAATTTGTAATTCTGAACAAATTATACGTATAGAGGAGTTTTAAAAAATACATGTACAATATTTATTATTTTTATAAATAATATACGGTCTATGCTTTAAGTACAACCATATACTAAATGTTAGGACCTATATAATTTATGCAATATGGATCTATAATGAATACAATTAACGTAAATCCTGACTTAAGCTTTAAATTGATAATGTGTTTGATGCACATGAAATATTTCTACTGATTCTGATTTAAGTATTGTGCATGAATATACGTAAGAGCTTGAAAAAAAAAAATCAAACTGATTGTATTTTAAATATAGAAGACTAAAATAATTTAAAAAAAAAAAGGTATGAATACATATAGAGCAATATTACGAATCATATGTGTTCGTTTTTTTTTATTTTATATATATATATATATATATATATATATATATATATATATATATATATATATATATAAAATGATTTTTTAAAAGTAATCCGCGCGCAATACGTTCTGTGCGAAAGAGAGCGAGGCTTTCCGTATTGCGTCTGGTGTTACTGTTCTGAACGCTAACCCCAATAGTATATGGTATAATGGTAATACCACAGACAGCATTGAGAGCTGTAACCCCGTTAACTTTTTTGTCGGTTCAGAGCTGTAACTCTGTTCGTATCAGGTGCTTTCTCACCTTGCTGCATGAAGCTGACAAAATGAAAAGCTGGTTTTTTAGCTCTACTGGTCAGAGACCAGAAGAGCTTATGCGATAGAAAGGTGTCCGTCGTCCGTCCGTCTGTCTGTCTGTCTGTCCGTCTGTCTGTAAACAATTTTTCAAAACGCTACTCCTCCTACAGTTTTGGTCTGATTCCAATATTACTTGGCACACAAGTAGACTACACTAAGATACATAATTAAGTGCATCGGTTTTTTATTTCGATGGACGGTGTTGCCATGGTTACTAAAAATAGAAATTTCTGTGAAATTCCTTTAAAACGCTACTCCTCCTACAGTTTTGGTTCGATTTCAATATAACTTGGCACACAAGTAGACTACACTAAGATACATAATTTAGTGCATCGGTTTTTGATTTCGATGGACGGTGTTGCCATGGTTACTAAAAATAGAAATTTCTGTGAAATTCCTTTAAAACGCCACTCCTCCTACAGTTTTGGTCTGATTTCAGTATAACTTGGCACACAAGTAGACTACACTAAGATACATAATTAAGTGCATCGGTTTTTTATTTCGATGGACGGTGTTGCCATGGTTACTAAAAATAGAAATTTCTGTGAAATTCCTTTAAAACGCTACTCCTCCTACAGTTTTGGTCTGATTTCAATATAACTTGGCACAGAAGTAGACTACACTAAGACACATAATTTAGTGCATCGGATTTTGATTTCGATGGACGGTGTTGCCATGGTTACTAAAAATAGAAATTTTTGTGAAATTCCCATAAAACATTACTCCTCCTAAAATTTTGGTCTGATTTCAATTTAATTGGGCACACAGATAGAATACACTATGATACATAATACGTATTTCTGTTTTTTTTATTTCAGTGAATGGTGATGTCATGGTTACTAAAAATAGAAATTTCCGTGAAATACTTTCAAAACGTTAACCCCCCTTACAGTTTTAATTTGATTTCAATATAACTTGGCACAGAAGTAGACTACATTAAGATACATAATTCTATTTATTGTTGCATGTTGCAAAGTTTCAAATCCAAGTGCTACTTTTCTTTTGTTATACGTACAGACCAGTAGAGCTACAGTCTCATCAGAGACTTCTGGTTTCCTTCTTTATTGTGATGTCTTCATATCCATGGTCCTTTACTGCTTCGATGTTTTCAACTTCCTTGATGAATCACGTCCTTTCCGGTGCATTATTATTTTTTTTTAACCTATGTGAATAAGCATGGACCATATCTGC